GCCCAACAGAAATAACCCAGGTGGATAGTTCCTCAGTTGCTCATAGAAAATCCCACCTTGGAGTTTACAAAGACTTATGGGTAGAAAAGCCACACTAAGTAATTTACTACACTGCAGTAGGTAAGTGGTGTGTTTCTAGGAATCTGTCTGTTTCTTCTAGATTTTCAAATTTGTTGGAGTACAGTTCTTTATAGTATCCTGATGTTATCCTTTTTATTTCAGTTGGTTCTGTTGTGATATTGCCCATTTTGTTTCTTATTCATGTTATTTGTATTCTCTCACTATTTATCTTTGTTAAATTTGCCACTGGTTTGTGAATTTTATTAATCTTTTCAAAGAACCAACTTCTAGTCTTGTTGATTTTTTCTATTGTCTTTCTGTTTCATTCATTTCTGCTTGAATCTTATATAATAAAAAATAAACATAATAATTTCCTTTCTTATAATGACCTCTCTTGCTGTTCTTTTTCTAATTGTTGGAGGTATGGGTTTAAAGTGTTGATTTTGGCTTCCTCTTCTTTTTTGATGTGTGCATTTATTGCTATAAATTGGCTTCTGATCACTACTTTTTCTGTGTCTCAAAAATTTTGGTATGTTGTGCTTTCATGCTCATTTGATTCAAGGACATGAGCCCTGGTGGTGCTAATGGTTAAGCATTCAACTGCTAACCAGAAGGTTGGTGGTTTGAACCCACCAGCTGCTCTGTGGGAAAAAGACCTGAAGATCTGCTCCTATAAAGATGACAGTCTAGGAAACCCTATGGGGCAGTTCTACTTTGTCATACTGGGTCACTGTGAATTGGAATCAAATCAGATTAACTTGATTGCAAAGAACAGCAAAGATGACAATTAAATTCTCTCTACTGAGGGAGTACATATCATTTTTTAATTTCTTTGTGCTTATATATTGTAAGGAGCCTGGTGACACATGGTTAAGTCTTTAGCTGCCAACCATAAGGTTGGTGGTTCAAAACAAGTAGCTGCTTTGTGGGAAAAAGATCTGACAGTTGGCTTCTGTAAGGATTACAGCTGTAGAAACCATATATATAGTGCAGTTCTACTCTGTTGTATAGGATTGTTGTAAGTTGGAATCAATTTGATGACAGTGGGTTTGGGTTTGTATATTGCACCAGATGTCTCAGTTTTGAGTGTGCAGAGACCACTTGCCCCCCTCTTCACCTTTCCCCAATATCTTGCATACTCAGTAAATATTACTGTATGAGAGTGGAAGAACTTCTGAGTTTTTGTGCTAGCTCTAGTTCCGTTCTGAAGTTTGCCTTTATGTCAGATTTATATGTAAGTTGGAACAGTTAGGTACAGTTCATACCTAACCTCAGTTAGTCAATGTTTGTCTTAGTATTTAGTGCACCTTTCTATGAATAAGAAAACATTAAACACTTCTGGATACACAAAAACCTTTTTAATGTAATAATACAGTAATAATAATGTTTTGGTACATGTCTCAAAGGAGTGCCCATTTGTTATTACAAACCATTGTATATACCTTGAATTTTTAATATAATAGACTTTAAAAGATTTTTTTTTTTTTTTAATTGTGATTTGGGTAAAAATTTATAGAGCAAATTCACTTTCCATACAACTGTTCACATAGACTTTGTCTAATGACATTGACCACAATTTACCCCAATGGAACAGTTCCCCTCCTACTTCCTCCCAATAGTCACCTCTTCCCTGTGTCCATCCCTGCATGTACTCCTGCCCCCTGAGCTGTCTCCCTGTGTATAAACAGCCCTTCTTTTCCCCATGATTGTTCTCTCCAAGGAGTGTATCTACCTCAGGTAAATGTTCATCTTCTATGCCTGTCTTCTGTTTGGCTGGAAGCCATAGGTATGGGTTCAGTTCCAGACCTGAAGGACAGCTAGGGGCCATAGTCTCAGTGGCTCCACCAGGCTCTATCAGATCAGCAAACCTGGTCCCCTCCCTTTTTTTCCCCAAATGACTTTGAGTTTTGTTCCACATTGTTCTTCCTCTCTATCCAGGATCTCCTACATAGATCCCCCTCTGAGTGTTTGACAGTGGTAGCCGGGCATCATCTGTTCTTCTGGTCTCATAGTTGTATAGGCTGCAGATCGCATAGTGTACCAGTCACAAAGACTAATTGTTTCCATGAATCTTTGGTTTTCTTTATTCTTCTTTGCTCTGGACAAGGAGAGATCCATCGTTGCATCTAGATCGTTGCTTGCAAGCTTTTAAGATCCCAGTCGCTGCTCGCTAAAGTAGGAGGTGGAACAATGTTTTGTGTAGTATGTTATGCCTGTTGAGCTTGATGTCCCCTGTGACCATGGTCCTGAGCCCACAGGTTCAACTACTTGGTTTTTCAGACTGGCTTCCTTCATTTGGCAGAATGCATTTAAGGTTGCTCCATGCCTTTTTGTGACTTAATAGCTCATTTCTTTCTATTGCTGAATAGTATTCCATTGTATGGATGTACCGCAGTGTTTATCCATTCTACATGTTGAAGGGCATCTTGGTTGCTTCCAGTTTTGGTCAATTGTGAAAAATCTGTTAAAAGCATTTCTATGCAAGTTTTTGTGTGGACCTAAATTTTCTTTTCAACTCATTTGGATAAATACTTAGGAGTGTGATTATTGGATCATTTGGGAAAGCTGTGTTCCACTTTGTAAGAAACTGCCAGATTGTCTTCCAAAGTGGCTGTGTACCGTTTTGCATTCCTACCAACAATGAAGAAGTAAGTGTTTCTGTTTTTCTACGTCCTGGTTAGCATTTGGTGTTGTCAGGGTTTTGGACTTTAGCCATTATAATAGGTGTGTAGTAGCTCTGGTGGTGTAGTGCCTAATGCATTTGACTGCTAACCAGCATGCTGGGGGTTCAAACCCATCATCCAGTCCTCAAAAGGAAGGTTGGGCAATCTACTTCTGTAGTGATACCATCTTGAAAACCCAAGGAGGGGTCACTAAGAGTCGGATTCAACTCCATGGCAGTGGTTGTGTTGTGTTTGTGGTGATATCTGCTAACTGAGAAATGGGCAGGTTGAGCCCACCCAGTGGTTTTGTGGGAGAAAGAGCTGATAATATGCTTCAGTAAAGGTTACAGGCAAGAAAATGCTATGGAGCAGTTCTGCTCTGTTACATGGGGTTGCTATGAGTCGAAATCATCTTGAGGACACCAAGTAACAGTGGTATCTCGCTGTGTTTTAGTTTGCATTCTCTAGTGACATATGTTGAGCGTTTTTTCATATGCTTCCTTGTCATCTCTGTATCTTCTTTGGTGAGGTTTCTGTTCAGATCTTTTGCTTGCTTTTTAACTGGGTTTGTTTTCTTTCTTTGAATTTTAAGAGCTCTTTGTATACTTTGTAAATTTTTTAACCATTGTCTATTAAATCTTTGTAAAGTGTACTTCATCTTGGTTTACTAAGAAGAAGATGGGAATTTGCAAATTAGATTGTAAAAGATCTGACCCTTGGATAAGAGCTATTTCCTTATCAGGAAATTTTTAGGCAAAAAAACCTTGTGTAAGACTTAAGAAAAACAGGTTTTTGTTTTTTGCTAACCTGGAGGTTTTCTTGGGCCTTGCTGAGTTGGCTGATGATTTTTATTTTCATTATATCATTTTTTTCTGTATAATTAATTTATTTTGGACTTATTGGACTATTTGCGATAGTTGATTTATAACCCCCAAGTAATTATTCTAAAGTTAAAAGTAATTTGCTTTCCCCCTGATTTTTATGTAGTATACAATGATACTTCATTTGTTTTTCAGATATCTCAACACCCAGTTTATTAAAAAGAATAAATTGACAGAAGCTGACCTTCAGTATGGCTATGGTGGTGTAGATATGAATGAACCACTTATGGAAATAGGAGAGGTAGGAAGTTCTTTAAATGACTGGTAAACATGTTTATTTGATACAGTCACTTTTTTAAGGATGTTGATCTTAGCATTTAAAAAATTTCAAATACATAATTATTAAATGTGTTAAGTATACATGTTGTTGTTATTGTTATGTGCCATGGAGTCCTGACTCATAGCAACCCCTCCTTGGGTTTCCGAGGCGGTATCACTACAGAAGTAGATTGCCCAACTTTCCTTCTGAGGAGTGGCTGGTGAGTTTGAACCGCCAGCTTTCTGGTTAGCAGTCAGGTGCCATAGGCACTATGCTACCAGAGCTCCTGTTCAGTATGTAAAGTAGCGTAATGATTACCTGAGGATTTTGAGATAGATTAGAGGAACAGAAAAGGTAATGATGATGATGATTTTAATAATTAAATTTATGATGGATGAATGACAGAAAGTTCTGTGTAAAAAATTCATATCAATTATTTAGAAAATGTTGAGGCTCCTACAGTTAAAAGGTGCAAAGGACATGAACTTCATTGAAAGAAGAGAAAATGCAAACTTATGGGCATAACATATTTACTATAACTTAACTTAAAAAGTAATTAAATTCAGAATAAAGCAGTGAGGTATACAGTTTCAAGTAATTTGTTCAGATATTTGAGGTATCGTTCAAATTTAAATAAGGAAAAATTTTAATACATATTGCATATACTGGTTGTGAAAGAAATAGTCTTGTACAAGTTTGTTTATTTACTACAATAAATGTTTATTGAGTAATTAGACAGTGGGAAACAATGGTGAGCAGATAGAAGGACCCTAACCTCATGAACCTTACTAAGTTCCGGTAGAGGAAGCAGGTGCCAAATAAGTAAAGAAACGAAATTGTGATGAGTTTTACTGAAGGACATAAACACTTAAGATGCAACATTAATAGATAAATTACATAATCTTTTAAAAAAGAAATCTGTCATTGTATTTCAAGATACTTTAAAATGCTCTATACCTGGTGACCAAGTAAGCCCATGTTACTAATCTGTACTAAGAAAACAGTATATTTAGGAAAAACCTTTACAATATTTCTTAAGAATTTAATAAGTGTGACAAATTCATCAGTGGGCAGTATAGCTCATGAGAAACTATAACAAAGGGAAAAAATAGTTTATGAAAATATTTGGGCACAACAGTATATATTTACTTGTAATAGAGCTCTAGGGGTTAAAAAGGCTGCAGAGAAAAAAAACATTAAAGGGAAATACCAAAGTCTTAGCAGTATAGTAGTTGCTTTTAGTTAGTAGGATTATAATTGAATGTTTTACTTGAAATCCTCCCTTACCACTAACATCACCAAGCCCACTCTTCTTCCCAGAGGAAGTCACTGTAAATAGTTTCATTTGCATCTTTTCAGAATTTTACCTGTACATTTGCATACAAACGTTTATGTACACCCACATAATAATTTTGATTTTATGTTTTAAGCATTCATGGTATCATACATACAGTCCTACAAATTGTATTGTTTTTTTCAGTAGTTAATGTACTTACTTTCATGTAAGTTTGTCTTCTGTGAGAGCTCAACATTCTGTAGTTGGAATATAAGCAATTTATTAAACTATTTCCTTAGTTACAAGTTTTTTGTTGTTACAGACAACACTGCAGTGAGCATCATTGTTCATTTGTTCATTCATGAAATATTTATCAAGCCCTTCTATGTCTAGACACTTTTCTGTATGCTGGGAATACAGCGGTGAACAAATTAGAAAAATGGCTTATACTTATTGAATTACGTTTTTGTGTATATCTGTTTGTATGTGAGCAGACATTATCAGAGAGTGGCTAACTAGAAGTGGAGTTTCTGGGTCAAAGATGAACATTCTGAATTTTGGTAGGTTCTGCTAGCTTGCCTTTCAGTAGGGCTGGTTTGTAAAGTGTAAGATCTCACTTTCTCAGGTATTAACATCCCACTCCATCCCTATTCATGACATTTAAATAAAGGGTTGAGGAGAGGGAGGCAAAACTTGAAGAATACTACTTTTGGAAAGATAAATGCTTTTATTTATTTGAAATGGAATTACTAATGGATCAGAATAAACTTACTCCAAGGGAACAGAATAGAGAGGCCAGAAACAGATCTGTGGATATGGTTAAGTTGGAAACAGAGGGCCAGTTTTTGGTACTTGAGTAATCTGTAGTGTTGTGGGGGGAAAAAGAAACCGGAGTTTAAAGATTTACATATGAAAAACAAAGCTTGAAAACTCATGTAAGGCAATGTAGGAGCACACATACCTTAGGGTAAAAGAGGAAATCCTTCGAAGACAAATAGTACAGACAGTAAAGGATTAAAATGATAAATATAAGTATATTAAAATAAATAGTACATTTTTTCTCAAAAAAAACACTCTGAAGAAAGTGAAGAGTCAAGCCATAATACACAAAACTGGCAAGAGATTAGTCTCCACTATATTTGTGTACATATGTATATGTGCCAGTGTTTATTGTATATATGTTGTTGTTGTTATGTGCTGTCGAGTGAACCCCCGACTCATAGCGACCCCTCCTTGGGTTTCCGAGGCAGTATCACTACGGAAGTAGGATTGCCCAACCTTCCTTCCGAGGAGTGGCTGGTGGGTTTGACAAACCCCAGCCGTCTGGTTAGCGGGCAAGTGTCTTAGCCACTATGCTACCAGAGCTCCCATTATTGTATGTATGTATGTATGTATATATATATATATATATATATACACACACACACACACACACACACATATATATACACATACATAAATACACACACACACACACACGTATAGGGAGCTCTGGTAGCATAGTGCCTAAGGCACTTGACTGCTACCCAGAAGGCCAGCGGTTCAAACCCACCAGCCACTCCTCGGAAGGAAGGTTGGGCTCACTACTTCTGTAGTGATACTGCCTCAGCAACCCAAGGAGGGGTCGCTATGAGTCGGGTCCGACTTGACAACACATAACCACAACACCATACACATACATATATATAAAATATCCTGATTTCATTAAGAACAAGACCAGTATTAAACAATGAGTAAAAGATGACTAGGCATTTTACAGAAAAAAACCTAGATGGACAGTAAACATAATATAATGCTCAACCGGTTAAAAACACTATAAGACACTATTTTACATCTACCGGATGAGCAAAGTTTTACTGAAGTCTGTTAAAACCTTTTGTTGTTAAGGATTAATGAAACTCTCATCAAGTGTGTGTGGGAGTATAGATTGATAAAAACACTTGAGAAAACGATTTGGCCTTTTTTTAAAAAAAATGAGTAAGTAAAGCTGCTCCTTTGCCTAGCCTGTAGCCTAGCATCTCCACTCCTAAGTATGCATCAGGGAATCTCTTGCTTATGTGCACCAGAAGATAAACCCAAGAATTGTAGCATTATTCTCAGTAGCAAAATAACTGGCATCACAAACACATATTCATTGGCAATAGAAAGGAAAAAATAAACTGGTTTATTCATATAATGATATACTATTATATAGTGTGATAATGATTGAATTACAGCTTATGTTTCAATTTGGATGGATTTCAATAACAAGGTTAAATTTTGGAAAATCACAAATAGAAGAATTTATCCAGTAGGATTTTATTATCATAGCCAGAAGTTGTTGTTGGTTTTATGTGCTGTTGAGTCGGACCCAACTCATAGTGACCCTTCCTTGGGTTTCCGAGACAGTATTGCTATGGAAGTAGATTGCCCCATCTTCCTTCCGAGGAATGGCTGGTGGGTTTGAACCGCCAGCCTTCTGGTTAGCAGTCAAGTGCCTTAGTCATTATGCTACCAGAGCTCCCATAACCAGAAGTAGTCACCTTCAAATATATGGGGATATATACATATTTGGTAAAATTATAAACAATGCCAGGTCATATTTTATTTAACATAATTCATTTGTTTCTGTCATGACCTTGGTGGGTGACACCTGCCTTATGAATCTGTAGCCCTTCCATAATGCCATACATTTAGCAATCAATAAATTAAGATTTTATAAAGATTAATTATTTCTGTAAGATTTTTAATTAGTAGTGTAACTATTCTTTGCATAAGTCCAAATACTGGTCATTTTACATTCAATTTTCACTTAAGTTTTGAAATATTAATTATAAATTTATATATTTTAAAATTTAATATAAATCTATTTTGTAATTATAAAATTAATTATAAATACTTCTTTTGATGGGTAATTTTACTGTTACAAATAAATGTTTAAAACAAATACTAAGTGATTCAACCTTGTTGACTTTTATTTTCCTGGCAGCTAGCATTGGATATGTGGAGGAAATTGATGGTTGAACCACTTCAGACCATCCTTATCCGAATGTTGCTCCGAGAAATCAAAAAGTGAGTACTTACATTTATTTTCTTGAGTCTATTTTATTTTGATTTAGAAATAGTGTACAGTTGCTTGACCATTGATTGGGATATTTTAAGTGGGGAATATCTTGTCAATGCATTATAAGGAAATAAGAAATAAGAGGGTTAAGGAAAAAAAAGTCACAAAAGAGGAGCAAGGGACATTTTTTATTTAATATAAATCTCAAATAGAAAGTATATGTTAACAATTAGTAACTTGGTGTTAAAAATTGTCACATATTCTTTCAATGATGCCATTATTTCCAAAGAAAGTGGGATGGAGATAAAGGCAGTATGGTGGAACACCTTTTTCCTTCCTTTCTCTACTCTCTGATAACCTATGGTTAACTGAGAGAATACCCCTAAGTAGAGTTATAGGTTCTAATATAATTTCTTGACATAAAAATTTTTTATGTAAAATTTTTTATAGTAAAATTAGTATTTTAATAGTTATGATTTTCTAAATAATACTTTTGTGAAATGTCTCATTTAATATAATTTGCCCCAACCTAGTGTGATTGTTAGCCTGTGAAAAATGAATTTGAAGAAAAATGAAAGAAAATTTATCTGTGTAAAAAATTGATGATACCTGTGGAATATTAATTCTGGAAAAGACGTCTCAGATCTGTGATTTCATCAGCGAGAGTAGGCCAACATATTTTTGTTGTTATAATCTGCCTTCATTAAAGCATTATTTAACATACTTACTAATATTTCATTTATTCTTTAAGTCAACAGTGTTAGGTGTATTGCGTTTTTTGCTGTTAAGGAAACGAAGACTTAATAATTAAGAATTAACCATGACAACCACATGCTAAACTTTTATAGGTGTTATGCTATTTAATCCTCATACCCACCAGCCACTCCTCGGAAGGAAGATGGGGCAATCTACTTCCGTAGTGATACTACATTGGAAACCCAAGGAGGGGTCGCTATGAGTCGGGCCTGACTCGACGGCACATAACAACAACAACAACAACAGTACTAGGAAATAGATACTGTTATTATCACCATTTTAGAATTGAAGATATAAATGGTGAAGTTCTACCTGTGGCAGTTAGTTTATGTCCTCCATCTTTTTAATTCTAGGGTTTTAAATCTAGGTTTGTCTAACTCTAAATCCACTAAGCTGTGTTGTTTGAATTCACAAAATATTTCTTCTGCTACTCTCAACTCCAGTATTTTAGCTTAATGCCAAATATATTAATTATACTTTTAGAATGCTTTGAGTATCTAAATTTTCTTTTCACACATCTTTTATTTTTTTTTCTCATTGAAGGTCGTCTTTTTTAAAAAGATTTTTATTGTGGTTTGGGTGAAAGTTTACAGACCAAATTCATTTTACATACAGCAGCTTATATACATTTTATCTCATGACATTGACTGCAGTTTCTCAAAGTAATCAGCTCCTCTCCCAGCTCCTCCCCATAGTTCCCTCTTCCCTGTGTCCTTCCTTTCCATGCACTCCTGCTTCCGAGCTGTCTCCCTGTACATACACAGCCCTTCTGTTCTCCCATGATTGATCTGTCCAAGGAGTGTATCTACCTAATGTAGATGTTTAGCTTATATACCTGTCTTTTGTTTGGCTGGAAGCCACAGGAGTGGATTTGATTCCAGACCTGAAGGGCAGTGAGGAGCCATAGTCTCAGGGCTTCCATCAGGCTCTATCAGACCAGTAAGCCTGGTCTGCCCTCCCCCCCTTTTTTTTTTCCTTTTAATGATTTTGAGTTTTGTTCCACAGTGTTTTCCCACTCTATCCAGGATCTCCTACATAGATCTCCCTCTGAGTGGTTGACATTGGTAGCTGGGTACCATCTAGTTCTTCTGGTCTGATAGTCCTATAGGCTGAGGATCAAATGGTATACCAGTTGCTTGGACAATTGTTTCCATGCATCTTTGGTTTTCTTTATTCTTACTTGCTCTGGATGAGGGGAGACCCATTGTTGCATCTAGATGGCTGCTTGCAAGATTTTAAGTCTGTACTCACCAAAGTAGGATGTGGAACAATGTTTTTGTGTAGTATACTATGCCGATTTAGCTTGATGTCCCCTGTGACCATGGTCCTGAGCCCACAGGTCCAACTACTCTCTCCCTCTGAGTAGCTGGCTGTGGCCAAGAAGTGACTACAACCTTGTCCCTCATCAGCTTTATATACCTGGAAATTCCTACAGAACATAAAAATACACTTGTGGAAACATTGTCTGCCAACTCTATATATGGTCATGGGCACACTCCACCCTGCATGGACATACCTAACAGTTCAGCATGTGCACCCATCTATCCACCCGTAGATCAGTGTTGGCCATCACTGAGAACGCAGTATTGTATGTACAGAAGGGTTCATCTTTGTTGTTTGTACCTCCTATGCACCTCTCTCTGTTTTCCTCTTCCTCATTGCCACCATGTTGACCACTGACATTTGGTACATTGCCCTTCCCCTCACCCAAATTAATACTTGTCTGTACCTATCTAGCAGAGTTCCTTCCCTGCCCTTCCACCCCTGGTAACCAACAAAGAAAATTTCCTTCCATATATAAACCTTTCCTTGACTTTTTACAATAATGGACTAATACAATATTTGTCCTTCCATGATAGACTTATTTCACTCAAGATAATGTCCTCCAAGTTCATTCATGTTATGTGGTGTTTACCGATTCTACATTATTCTTTAGGTTTGCATAGTATTCCATTGTGTGCATGTACCATAGTTTGGTTATCCATTCTTCTTTTAATGGGCACCTAGGTTGTTTCCATCTTTTGCCTATTGTAAATAGTACTGAGATGAACATGGTTGTAGATATATCTGTTCTTGTCCTGGTTCTCACTTCTTTAGGATATATACCTAGTAATGGAATGGCTGTCAAATGGTATTTCTAATTCCATCTTTTTAAGGAATTGCCATACTGCTTTCCACAGTGGTTGTATCATTTGACAGTCCCACCAGCAGTGTGTGAGAGTCCCGGTCTCTCCACATCCTTGCCAGCATTTGTTATTGCCTGTCTTTCTGAACTTTGCTACTAGCAGTGGGGCAAGATGGTATCTCATTGTTGTTTCGATTTGCATCTCTCTAATGGCTGATGATTGTGAAAATTTCTTCATGTGTTTGTTGGCTGCCTGAATATCCTCTTTGGTGACGTGTATATTCATGTTTTCTGCCATTTTTAAATTAGATTGTTTGTCTTTTTATCGTTGAGGTGTTGGAGTTTACTGTAAATTCTAGAAAGAAGTCCCTTGTCAGATATGTCATTGCCAAATATTTTTTCCCAGTCTGTAGGTTGTCTTTTGACTCTTGGAGAAGTCTTGGGAAGCACATAAAAATTTAATTTTGAGAAGGTCCCATTCATCTAGTTTCTGTTCTGCTGTTTTTGCATTTTGGGTTATGCTTGATAATGTAGTTATGCCATGAATGAGGGCCCCAAAATTTGCCTTTATTTTTTTCCTTAAGGAACTTTATAGTTTTTGGTTTTACGTTTAAGTCTTTGATACATCTGGTGTTAGTTTTTGTCACACATATTTCTTATATGATTATAAAGAGATATGGCAAGTTTTATTTATAAAGAAACATCTTGAACTTCAACAAGGAGAAATGACTTACTGTTACAGGATATGATGGTGAATGTTATCATAGGCTTATTTTTGAAATGAGGAAAAATGAGATTTAGAGGATAAACACTTACCAGTCATCATTCTTATGTCATGCTGGTCCTTAAGTCTGTGGTCTCAGGAGTAGGTATGTTGTTGTTGTTGTTGTTATGTGCCGTCGAGTTGGCCCCGACTCATAGCGACCCCTCCTTGGGTTTCCGAGGCAGCATCACTACGGAAGTAGGATTGCCCAACCTTCCTTCCGAGGAGTGGCTGGTGGGTTTGAACCGCCAGCCTTCTGGTTAGCAGTCAAGTGCTTTAGCCATTATGCTACCAGAGCTCCTAGGAGTAGGTAGGAGTAGGTATAGTATATACTTATCAACTATCTTGTTATCTGACATTTCACATTTATAACAGTAGTAGAAAATCTACTATCCAACTATTTTGTGCATTAATAATGTACATCTGCTAGTAATGAATGCCGAGGTATAAGGCAAGAGTAACGCTGGCTGTTGTGATGGTTAAGGTTATGTGTCAACTTGGCTGAAGCCATGATTCTTGTGGTTTGGCAGTTACATAATGGTAAAATTTGGCAGTCATTAATGATGTAGTCATTTTCCATTTGCTCTGATGTGATCACCTTCCATTTTTGCATAATACTGATTTTTGCATATCAGCCTGAGCTTTGGAACCTAACCATGTTAGTGAGAAATGGGTATATGTTCATGTTTTAGTGTTTGTACTTACAACTTCTTTGTGGAGAGAGCTCCAAGAGTCTTAGAGAATAAAATCTTTTCAGAACAAGCAGAGCCTATTTCAAGTTTGATTTCTAGTCAACTTTCTCTTCTACATTCACTCAGCAGTTCCTAGATATTCCTTTTACCTCTGTAAAGAACATTACTCTGTGCAGGTAGTTTCTCAGATCTGCTACTGAAAATTATTGCATCAGCAACTTTTGAAAGAGTTGTTTTCCTACAAAAAATTATACAAGTTACATATGCTCAATTATAAAATTTTGCATATGCACAAAGGTTAAAGAAAAAAGTAAAAGACCTTTCTTTTTTCTCCCAATAACTTCAGTTCTGTTTCTTAGAAGAAATCACTATCAAGGGTAGAAAGTATTTTTAATAGAAATTCTGTTTGCATATAGGGTTTATTTACATACATGGATACACATATTATACAGATGTGCATATGTATATACATACATATGGTAAAACTTGGAAAAGCCAAGTCTATGTAAAGTTGGAACCTGTCAGAGAAGGAAAACTTAAATATTTTCCAGTATAGAAAGTGATAGGAAAGTGGTGAGACTCCACCTTGTCAAAGGTGGAAAACTTGCAAGACCCAGAAAAACAAGGCATTCTTGTTGACTTCTAGCTCTCAATGATCTCACTATTTTTATA